AAATCTCTTTGGTGCTGGAAGTAGGAGCTATTCAATTAGGTCTATTTAAAGAATAGTGAATAATCATTACAGAAAAGGGACACTTGGGGAACTCAAAAGAATTTACAGTGACTATGCACATCACATTATGGATGAGTAAACCAGGAAAACTTTGGTATAGTGGATGTTTTATGAACCCAGCGAGAAGTTTACAAAACCAAAACATAGCACTGAATACATCCCCCACTCCAGAGGCCCAATTTGCACATTCCTCTATAGGGCATTCTGCCTACTGACATGCTACGTATAGATCTAAGTGCAAGATAACAAGTAGCACACAGTGATGTCGCTTGTTAAAACCAAATTTATTGAACCAAACAGTGCATGCCACAAATTCCCAACTGGAAACTGCCCCTTTATGATGCATTTTACCCTCAAAGGCTTAATCATAGCAATGAGGACAGTCAGAAGGAGGGGTACTTAGATATGCTGTATTTTAACTTTGAAAGAGACATCAACTATATACAAATTCACCTACTCCACAGTATCTCCACACAAAGCTACACATACACATAAGGGCAGCACAGTGGCTAAATGGTTAGCACTTCCGCCTGGCAGTACTAGGGTCGTTGGTTCAAATCCCAACCACGGCACCACCTGCCTGGAGTTTGCATGTTCTCCCTGTGTCTGCGTGGATTTACTTCGGTTTCCTCCCACACTCCAAAGACATGCTGGCAGGTTAATTGGCTTCAGTCTAAATTGTCCCTAGTATGTGTATGTATGAATGTGAGTTAAGGACCTTAGATTGTACACCCCCTGAGGGTTAGGGACTGATGTGAATGTACAATATATATGTAAAGCGCTGTGTAAATTGACAGCACTATATAAGTACCTATAATAAAATACACATCTGGAGAACATCAGCAGATCTCAGAATACATACAAAACATTGTATATCTAAAATTTTACATATATATATATATATATATACACACACACACAGTATATATAGAACTGATGTCAGAAAAGAGGAAAGGAAAAGAAAAAAATGAGGGATTATATTGGAGAAAAGAAAATGAGAAAATTGAAAAGAGGGGAGTAAAAAGAAAAGAGGAGTAGACAGAAGAAAGAAAAGGAAATAAAAATGGTGTGTGTGGTTTGAGGGTATGGGGAAATGAAGAGAGGAAAGGGTAGGGGTAGGGTAGAATAGGGAAGGGGCAATGGGGAGGGGGAAAGGAACAAAAATAAGGGGGGCAATAAAGTGGCAAAAAGGAAAGGGAAGTGTGATCTACTATTCATATTACTAGTTTACGTCCCACTCAAAATTTAAAAAATAAATGATCAGAACACTTCTCATCTGCTGAGCAGGGCAAGTAGTCACCTCCCATAATAGAACTTTGTATAGATCAACAATGTGACCTCTGAAAGAGTCCAAATTAGAATTGTGTTATGTTACAAAATGCCTAGCTACATTAGTGTACTTTTGTCCCTACATCCCTACAAGTGATCCTTGTGGGGGTTTGTGGAGAGACATAGAATCTGGAAGCTCCCTTTATAACAAGGGGTCTTGGTTTGAGTTTTTCTTAGACAATAGGTGTGCAGGATTGGTGTGTTTATTGGTTACTTGGCGTGTTGGTTGCTTCTTATCATATATTAGTGATGTTTTTACAAAAACTAACACAAAAAGTAAAATGGATATACTTTTTCTATGTACTGCTGATTGTTTTCTACGTCTTATCTAAAAAAACTTTATCACAATGCAAAAAAACACAAGGAAGTGCCCAAACACATACTATTTTGGGGTATTTTGACAACATTTATGATTGCTGATCATAATCACAGTCACACATGAAGTAATCAGGTTTATTGTGAGAAGCATTACATTTTTAAAAATAATTTCGTTCTCATTTCAACTTGTGGTGCTACATTGTGAATTTAAAGTCAGATTTTGCTGAAATTGTAATACATGCTAAACTGCTAGTTTCATAGTAAACTCAAGTTTCATGAAATGCCATGCTGATCCCTATTTACAATATATTGTCAATTTATCATTAAGAAAGAAAGTATAACATACATCTTCCATGCTAGACCTCATTTGTATAGTTTTCACTGTTTTAGGTTTTGAAAATCTTGAGAAGTAGAGTCTTCTGTTTCTCTAGTGTGTACATTATAAAACTTTCTCTATTCCTAGCATGCTGCTTTGTTTTGGTATGATTTAGCTGTGAACACATTTGTGTCTTGGATAGCTGCTCTCTTATAGGATAATCCATCTGTGAACTCACTGGAGTCTTGGCTTGCTTCTTTCCTTTAACATTCCCCCACTGCTAACATACTGGAATTCTGGCTTGTTGCTTTTTCTTGGTATGATCTATTATGTGAACTCCAGTTAAACGTTTTTCATTTCCTAAAGTAGCTGGACATGATCATGTGCAGTCCAGGCATTTTATGGTATCTTAGGTCTAGTTTTCATAAAATGGCAGTGGCACCAACTTTGATTGGCCTGCTTATAACTTTAAAGTGGTTCTAAAGGCTGAACATTTTTTACTTTAATGAATTCCTTACATTAAGGTAAAAAATGTTCCAGTGAAGTATCACCCCTTCACCCCCCCCTTTGTACGTACCTGAGTCCAATCTCAATCCAGCACTGTATCCCTGTATCCATCTGCAGTAGTGTTGGCACCATTGACTCCCCTGCTGTTAATCAAATCCTGTGAGCAGAGAGCAGGGGGCAGGGCCCAGCTGTGCTGTGCTGTTTGTGTCAACAGACACACACAGCCTGGCTCAAGAGCGAACCCACAGGTTTGCCATCATAAGAATCGGCTTCTTATGGTGGCACACAAGGAAGAAGAGAATGCCTGCAAGGGACCCCAGAAAAGGCGGCTCTGGACCATTATGTGCAATACCATTACACACAGTAGGTAAGTATAAGGTTTTTTTTTATAAAAAAAAACCATAGCCTTAACAAACACTTTAATACTAATTAGATAAGTGTTATTACTAAAATGGCCTCAGCACCATGTGTTAATATATGAATGTTTATTAAAAATAGGGAATACACTGAAGCCGTGTTCAGTTTAAATGTCCAATAACGTGCAATAGAAAAAAAAAAACAGTTTTACTTGTACATGATTGGAGGGACGCATCTGTGCTTTATTTACTAGGCTAGGTAAACATTTAAATTGCTGTGTAAGCATTTTCCACCTCTACCTTTTGTAAATAAATCTTATAGAATCAACCAGGTTTAAGAAGCACAAAAACATGCTGTTTTGTTGTTTTCACAACGTAAGTACCTTACTTACCTTACAATCAACATTCTATCCATCCCTCAGTCGTGTGAAACGGTACAAAGAGGAATGCCGTTTTGTAGTTTCAACATTTGTTAAAGATCACGCTAGTTTACATATTATCATGGATTACACATCACACCATATTATAGCTCCTCTTTAATACTCTTATTTTCATTTCAGTGCTTGTAAAAATAAAAAAGATGGTAAAGAGAATAAAAAAAATCACCAAGCACAGGCAAGTTTTGTAATTATATTCTTGCTGAATAAAGCAGATGTAATTCCACAGCTGGGAGATGCTAATGTCTAAAGAATCTAGGCAATATTTTTATTTCCCATGACAATTTGCTCACTTGACTAAACCAATGGAATCCAGAGATATTTTATTTTGTTCTCGTTGGCAAGAAACTTTTGTGATTACATTCTTCTATTTACACAGTATTCATATTTACTTCATACTACATGACCCAATTACATTAATGTATTCCTGATTGTGACATTTTATCTACATAAATGATGTTTGCATTTTTTTAACTGTATACCATGGTGTATTTATCTTAATATTGCATACATGGTACCATACAAAGCTACGGATTTATTTATGTTTTTCATTGTTATAGCCAGTTTACCGCCAGACCTTTTTCTGACACAATAATTTTTGCTAGAAAATTAGTTAGAACCCCCAATATATTTTTGAAAGCAGAGGCCCAAGATAATAAAATTGTGGGTTTTTAAATTTTTTATGTTGCCTGGTCTTTGCACAGTGGTTTTTCAAATGCAATTTTTGAGAAAACATACACATTTTTGAATTTTATTGTATGAATTTTAATGCATGACTTTTAAAACACATAACCCAGCATTTTAAAAAAGTAAATAGATACCAGGCTTTAAAATTGCAGACGCCTGTGCAATGACGTCAGACAACGTAAATTTTACTATCCATAGTTGATGCTTTACAAGTCTATACTGGTTATCTCTTCAGCTTTTCAGTGAAGATCTGGTACTAGAATTACTGCCCATGATCTGACATTCGTGGTGATACCTCACATGTGTGGGAAAATCACTGTTTGCATGCACGTCCGATGCGTGCATGGCAGCACTGCTGGGAGGCACTGTTGGGAACTGATTGGGAAATACTGTTGGGCACTGATGGGCAGCACTGTTGGACACTTATGAGCAGCACTGCTGGACACTTATGGGCAGCACTGCTGGGCAGTGAAGGGCAGAACTGAATGGCACTGAAGGGCAGCACTGCTAGGCACTGATGGGCAACACTGTTAGGCACTTTTGTGGCTGCACTGATAATCATGGCACTGATAATCAGTACTCTGATTATCAGTGCAGATGTCTGATTTTAGGGTTGCTGGTTACTGGCAGTCCTTTCCTCACACTGGACACAGCTGATCATGTGATTGGCCTTGTAACATGTCATGTGATCAGCTGTATCCAAAGGACACAATAATCATGGACAGCAGCAGGTTCACACCGCAGGGGGTGTACAGGGGGGCATGTTCTGTGAGGACGTCATATGACGCCCGCCCAGAACTGGACTACCACACTGTGTAGCTGTCATTCGGTTATAGCGCGGTAGTAAAGTGGTTATTTACTTATTACTGCTGTTGGTTCCAAAGTTGAACATATACACTATATAGCCAAAAGTATTGGGACACCCCTCTAAATCGATGGATTCAGGTGTTCCAATCACCTTCATGGCCACAAATCTATAAAATCAAGCACCTAGGCATTCAGACTGCTTCTACAAACATTTGAGAAAGAATGGGTCACTCTCAGGAGCTCTGTGAATTCAAGTGTGGTACTGTGAGAGGTTGCCACCTGTGCAATAAGTCCATCCGTGAAATTTCCTTGCTGCTAAGAAGTTTCCACGGTCAACTGTTAGTGGTATTATAACAAAGTGGAAACAGCTTGGAACAATAGCAACTCCATGCAGTGGAGTAAAATGACAGAGCAGGGTCAGTGCATGCTGAAGTGCACAGTCCACAGAAGTTGTCAGCTGTCTGCAGAGTCAATAGCAAAAGACCTTCAAGATTCATGTGACCTTCAAAGTAGCACAATAATAGTGTGTTGAGAGCTTCATTGAATGGGTTTGCATGGCCGAGGAGCTACATCCAAGCCTTACATCACCAAGTGCAATGCAAAGTTTCAGATGCAGTGGTGTAAAGAACAATGTCACTGATCTCTAGAGCAGTGGAGATGTGTTCTCTGGAGTGATGAATCATGCTTCTCTGTCTGGCAATCCAATGGATGTGTCTGGGTTTGGCAGTTCCAGGAGAACTGTACTTGCCTGACTGCATTGTGCCAAGTGTAAAGTTTGGTGGAAGGATGATTATGGTGTGGGGTTGTTTTTCAGGGGTTGGTCTTGGCCCCTTAGTTCCAGTGAAGGGAACTCCTAAGGCATCAACATACAAAGACATTTTGGCCAATTTTATTCTCCCTTCTTTTTGGGAATGGCCCCTTCCTGTTCCAACATGACTGCGCACCAGTGCACAAAGCAAGGTCCATAAAGACATGGATGAGCGAGTTTGGGGTGGAGGAACTTGACTGTCCTGACCTCAACCCAATAGAGCACCTTTGAGATGATGTAGAGCAGAGACTGTGAGCCAGGCCTTCTTGTTCGACATCAGAGCCTGACCTCACAAATGCACTTCTGGAAGAATGGTCAAACATTCCGACAGACACACTCTTAAACCTTGTGGACAGCCTTTCCTAGAAGAGTTGAAGATTTTATAGCTGCAAATGGTGAGCCAACTCAATATTGAACCCTGCAGACTAAGACTGGGATGCCATTAAAGCTCACGTGCGTATAAAGGCAGGTGTCCTAATACTTTTGGCAGTATGGTGTAAATTTGCCCATACCTTGGTGATCTTCAACAGCAGAAGCTATAGCCTTCCTCACAATCTATGTACCCTTTTTCTGGTTTTTAAACAGATCTAGCAGTGTATCATCTACCCTTAGCAATAAAACCTTTCTTGAAAACACATGAAACCCGTTACAGTGTGAGCCTTCAAAACTGCATAATGGTAAATGGGACATAATCTCTAATTATAATACATCATCTGGCAATAACCAAATCTTACGTCATAGAACCCGAACCCCGGAAAAAAATCTGCAGACCATCCATGCTCTGTGCAACATGACAAAATCACTTTTTATAGTATGGCTGTAGAGACATGCAGAAGATATGATTCTTTTAATAAATTTTTTTGGAAAGGGGTTATTGGCTATTACACATGTAAACTGTAGGCATATTGTCTGCATATATACAGTGTGTGCTTTTAGGCAAGCATGCAGCCAATGAGATTGCTTGATATCTGCACTGTGTTCTTAAAATTGTATATTGAGCATGAGAAAACTGGGATTTAGCAGTAAAGTCCTAAAGCCTGGTACACAAGATAAGAATATTGGACAAATGATTGTCTGTTTTTTTTTTTGCAACAACGGGGCCCCATACAGCCAACCTGACAGCCCCCCCACCCCCCAAAAGAATAAAAAAAAAACCCACAGTTTACTATTCTTCAGTTATGAATGAACACTGTCAGTGATCGGTACCAAGCACTCGTTGTGTGCATTCGGGAAATATAGGGGCTGGTAAATGTGACATATTTATTACCCCACTCTCCATTCTGAAGGATCCTATTGTTTGCTTGCAGCTGCCGGTAGGAAGGAGAGGGGGGAAGCTGGCAGCACTGCAGCGGTGGGACACACAGGGGGGCCTGGGTAACAGGCAGAAACTTATGGTACACAGGAAGGATGATGGGTGCAGATCTGATCCCCTGTACTGCAGTAGCTAAAAGCCAGCAGGAGGGGGAAGAGAAGAAGCCAGCTTTCAGCTGTGGCAGGGAAAGTCATGCAGAGGATAGATTCCAGTAAATGCTCCCCACCATGACGATCATCCTCCCTGTCCACATCCAGTTCATCCAGCTGCCTGGTGCCCCCCTGCTGGCCTGGGCCCCGTACAGGAGAACTAGTGGTACCCCCTTATCCATGGCCCTGATTGTATTGTTATACATATATTCTTTTGTTTCTGATTAATACTGTATTAATTAAATGAAAATTGTATGATCTGGTATCGTACAAAACAAATTTTCATATTTGTACCTTCAAATAATTTCAGATGAAAGCTGTGTACTAACGATCAGATTATCGTATGATCATTTTCCTGTGCTGGTGTTATATACTGTATATGTAGCACAATGGTTTGATCAGAGATTTGATTGCATTATCAATACACATACAGTTATTTCTCTATTTCAGTAGATAATGAGGCTGAAACAGTTGAGAATCTTCACTAAGAAATTGTGTGAGTATGCACCTTGAGTATTCCAAATGAACAGAAATGTGTTTTTTACATAACTGCATAATTAGTCATGTGCAGGTGCTTTTCAAATACTGTAACTAGATAATTGAAGTGAATATTTACACAATATCTCCTTCTTTTGTAAATCAACCTCTATAGCTTCTCAATATGTTCTCTTAATCTTTAGATTTAGTGTTAGCCTAATTTAGTTGAGGCAGAAGGTCTAATTAACTTGGGAAATTCTATTACTGATTTTCTGTTCAATCATATTGATCCATTGGACCAATTCATATATCTGTTTGATGAGTTTACACATAAGGCTTTATGTAGCTGTGTTAACTGCTTGTTGAATAGCTTTTTGAGGAAGATATTCCAATATATATATGGAATCCCCAGAGTATCGTTATTGTTTTTCTATGGGTGTATCCTGGGTAGAACTGTTGGGGGAGAATTGATGTCTGCCATCATTTTATCCATAGAGCAAGCCAGAAAAGATCAAGAAATCAAGATCTTTGATGGTGCGAAGGAGCCAATTATAGTAAATAACCCCCATTGTTCTTTGGGAGAGATAGGGCTTTAATTTGGTAGTAGAGGTGAATACATATTTTTTTTATTACCTTGGTTTTTATTGGTAGTAAATAAAATCCTGTCATTTTTTTCCCAACAACCTTTATTACTTTTCAACTTCCATATATTTACCACAAAGTGTTCTCAATAAAATCTGCTGAATAAAATATCACATCATTGTGACCTTTTTGTGATGTAACAGAATGGTAAAGCTCAAAGTGAACATATTACATTTTAATTTAGGAGAGCTTTATTCGTCTTTTGATGCTACAACATGATGCACGCAGACATAAAAAATGTTTGATAGAATGCTATTAAAATAACGCAAGTTAGGTTGACTAGGGCACAGATTACCACATTAGTGACTTTTTCACAGGTTTTCAGCAAAAAATGTTAGTTTTACATGAGCATTTGATGCTTGCTCTATAAACTCAAATGTCATCCAAATCATCCAACATTAGTGTTGCAACCCGAGGATTCATCATGTGAGGGTACATTTTACAGTAATTATATGTAAGATACTGTATACTTATTTACAATATTTTTTATTTTTTTTTATATATTTTTTTTTAATGTTGAATCTGTATCTAAATAGTGGAAACCAGATCCTTACTCCCCCACCTCTTTTAACTGTGGAACATTTCTTATAGTGACAATGTGTACATGCAACAATTAACATACACTTATGTGGCATCACTGTGATCGTTGGGAGCAGGAAAATGTATTTACGGTTGTTCTTTGGTGGTAGGTTATGGTAGTAGCAAGAAAGATACAGCTAAATTTAAAAAATGAAATTGTTTTACTGTTTTGGGCCAGTTTTCCTTTGATTTGTCCTGAAAAAAGGTATAATTCTCCTGGATAAACAAAGTAGTTATGATGACATGTGCGGTTTTACTAACACATGTTAAAGTTGCAAAATTTTGCATTAACATTTGTCTTTACCCTTAGGCAGGAAGGGGTTAAAGAGTATGTCCAGCTAAAACTTACCACCATTAAAAGTGAGGGTAAATCTCTCTACCTGAGCTCCAGCTATTAGTAAAACATGATGGGGGTTCTAATCCTACACCTCTCCATCCACAAAAAAAAATAATTGCTAGATACATGCTTTAAGTATCCTTGAAAAGTAGTTGTGTTGGTTAGTTGACATTACGTTGTCTCCTAGAACTGATAATTGTTGCTCCTGATTTTTATTTTAGCCATCGAACAACATTTGTGGTAGCAGTTAGGCTAGTAATGTAGCAGTAAGTGTACATGCTGCAGCGTGTTGCAACATTAATTACATTAAAACAAATAGGCCCCCTTCACTTTACAAGACAAATATTTGTAGCCTATATAGGGGCTGTAATAGCATGTGCTCCACAGCAGTGCTTTTGATGAAATGCTGCTATTACATGAGCTATAATGTAAAAGTTAGTTGCTAAATTTTACAAGCAATGGCTAAATGATGACAGCAAAACGGTAAAATAGACAATGTCTTTTAGCGCTTGTTATCTTGTAGCGCCTCTAATAAAATTAGCTTGACTCAAGTAAAATGAAAAGCTGAATAGAAATTATATTGAATTTTTTTTAAAAAACGTTTTCATGACTAACAGAAATATCTTTCCACATGAGTATACTTGCATTGGATAAATAAATGTGCGTGCAATACAAATGGACTGCACTCCAGGTTTAATACCAAATTATTTATATTACTTCTTTGAGCTGATTTAACCCCTTGACTGCCAGACCATTTTTTTATATCCAACAAAATATATATATATATATTACAAAATTTGTAAATACCCAACAAGATGACTTATAGAAAAAATATGATCATGACTTGGTATGTTTCAATATTAAAATAAATCTATATTTCAATATAATACAAACCTTAATATTTATTATGATTGTAAACACAATCTAAAAATACCCTATTAACCACTTGCCTTCCTGAGGATTTACCCCCCTTCCTGACCAGGCCTCTTTTTGCTACTTGGCGCTGCACTAATGCAACTGATAATTGCGTAGTCATGCAATGCTGCACCCAAACTAAATTTACGTCCTTTTTTTCAAACAAATAGAGCTTTCTTTTGGTGGTATTTTATCACCTGTGCGCTTTTTATTTTTCACGCTATAAACAAAAAAAGACCAAAAATGTTGAAATATAAAATATATAGAGTAAACTCAAAGTTAATTATAAATTTAGGCCAAAATGTATTCTGCTACATGTTTTTGGTAAAAAAAAATCCCAATAAGTGTATATTGATTGCTTTGTGTGAAAGTTATAGCGTCTACAAAGTATGGTATAGATACTGCAATTTAAACCATTTTTTTGCTATACAGTGCTGCACTAGTTTAACGGACAATTTTGCGGTCACATGTAAATTTATGTCCTTTTTTTCACACAAATAGAGCTTTCTTTTGGTGGTATTTGATCACCTGTGCACATTTTATTTTTGGAGCT